TAACAGCATCTATACTGAGCGAATTATGTGAAGGTTCGCGCAATCAAACAAGAACAACAGTTCTGAAAAACAAAACCGAATAATAAAATGTTACGTTTCTCCGGCTAATTTTTTTGATGATCACACACTAATTAGAATGATTGACACTTGCCTGTTCAGTCTGTATTTGAGTGGAATACTGGCCACAGCAAATGTTCGTCCTATATTATCATGCAGTGTAACAGCGAACAACACATTCATCCCTAGAGGAAATGTCTGAAGCTTGTCGGAATTCGCTCTCACGGGAGATTGACAAGTGATGGTCAGTGATGAAACTGCTTTGACCTGAAAATATTGAATGAATGTTAAATCCTGCGGATGTGAGGTCAAAAACAAGGCCCCGTCTAAGCTCGACTAATGCGTTTTCGTTTAAAGACGCATAATATTTGTTGATGAGTTCTCCCCTTCAGTCCACGCTGCAACGATCGAAAACGCATACATTTGAAAACGCTGTCCTAAAAGGAGACATTTGACAACAAAGCCATATCGTTTAAGTGTGGACGGCGAAAAAGGGGGGCTTAAAAAAACGATGATGCCATTCACCATTTAAGCCCAAGCGTAAATGACGTCTGTGATGTTTCTCAATAGGTATCTGCGTTTAGAAGTGTTGTAGTCTGAATGGGAAAATGCTACGAAAACGGTAGTGTGGACGCAAACTTTTGATGCGTTTTGGGTAAGCAAATGGATCATCGAATAAGTTTCGTTTCGAAAACGGATTAGTGTAGGGAGGTCCTAAGATTAGGAGGACATTTTCAAGTATCTTTAGAAACATACTCAGGGTTCCAGATAAGTTTTCAAGGCAGGGTGTCAATAAGGAATTCCAACAGGTCAATTCCCACTGCTTCCACCAAATCATTTAAGCAAGAGATCACCACCAAATCATTATAAAATTTCTATTTATTTGCCAGGTCATGTAGCTGACCTTGTCCGGTTTATGTCCCGAGACCCCTCGCTTAACTGGAACACTGCACACCTACTGTGTAGGGTTATCTACGTGACAAAACCGGCAATAATGGTTTTATTTTGTACAACCGTATTAGAAATTTGTTAACAACACGCTACCAAGAGAGGATGGCTGATCATTTAAAGAATTTAATCATGAAAACGTCTTAAACGAAAAGCTCCGTTTTCTCAAAGCAAAGCGATGACAAAATTGAATCCTCCGCTGATCTTACCTCTACATGTACCACGACAGTTTGATTGATGCCACACTCCTCATGGACAGTCACAAGCACAACAGCTGTCCCAGACAAGGACGTGGTGGACACCTGTCCGATTCTGTTGACAGTCGCCACAGATGGACTGCTGGAAGCCATATTGTTCTGAGAGCAGTCGGCTATTAGTTCGTATGTTATCCTTGCTGAACCATCCCTGCAAAAATTTGTCTCCTTTTAGCAATTCACTGAACTAATAACGTAGATTTGTTACAGTAACGAACTTTGAATACTTCCTTTCCTATCCCGATCGTGCCCCGCAGGACACCTAAGGCCATCGTGTATACGTGAATTCTAAATCTCTCTCAAATGAGTCATAATACCATCTAAGAACACAGCTATACCGCTTACAACATTAACAGTGCGTAGTACTTCTAAAAACGACGCTGAAAAATGCATTTGAATTTTTATGACAAATATGAAGAGGGTCTTAAGAGTGCCTGCCTGTAAAAATCAGACAAATTCTTAATTTCGCGGCAAGA